CTGGTAGGGATGGGACTAAGGTTAACAGGCGAAAATTTCATGTCATTAGCACYTCTAGTAATATATTTACTGAGAAAAATGGTGATGTGTTCAGTACTTATTTTACCCGCTGTATATACCTGACATATACCTTAGTCCTGTATGGTATATTTTAGAAAGCATTAAAAGAGTTTGGGGGAAATCTACAAAGCCTGGTAGGGATGGGACTAAGGTTAACAGGCGAAAGGTGGTAGTCCAGTTCTGGAGATCTTTACGGCTGATGAGGGAACCTGGCAGGGTTGTGTTACCTTCAGAGGACCAGCAAGGGCAGAGGGAGAGCGGTCTTCGGCGAGGCATCCCCACTAAGGGCTCAACTTCCATAAGACAGAGGAAATAATATGAAGGAGTGATGTGGGCGGGTGCAGAGGTCAGGTAGAAAAGATCAAGAGGAAATAATGCAGGTGAAAAAGCAGAGACATCACAAAGGGGAGGAACAAGAAGGGTATGGTTCAGAAAAAATATATGAGGAAAGTCAACAGACAGTAGCACAGTGATAAGGAGAAGGCCAAAACCTTGAAGAAAAAAAGCTGGGAGAGATAAGCTGTGTGGTGGGAGAAATGAAAAAGAGCTAAAAACATAGAAACAAGTGAAAAAAACAGATAATCTTGAAAACAGAAYGAAAAAAATACTGCTGTTTGATCTTGCATTTGTGTTTCCGCTGATAAACTTCAATTAGTTAACAGCTACCTGTCAGTTATGAAATGGGCAGAGCCCAAACATATGGGCACTGTTTTTCAAAGAACGCAACATGATTTCATGCCATTATTACAGCCATTACTGTTCACCAAGAGATCCATCTCACTCTCACACACAGATAATGGCTTTGTCTTTAAAGAGCCTCTCCGAGTAAACACTACGTGAACATGTCGAGACCACCCGGCTTAATTTGTTGCCTGTAAGGAGACTTTTGAAGTTTAGCCACTTTTGAAGTGCAAATTAAGATTTATTTTTCTAATTTGCTCGCACAGAAAAGATTTTATAAAAAGAAAAAAAAAACACACGAAGATCATAAGCAAGAGAGGCTCTCTTACTAAAACCCAAATTAATGAATGTAAAATATGTGGAGCACAGATAACTTTAAAGGAAAACAGGCACTTCAGGTAGAATGTTTATTATAGATATATTATGTAGTAACTCATGTAAGGTGGAAAGGCTGTTGTCACCTTASAGTGAGAAGGCTTTTCTATATGGAATTTGCGTATTGTCTCAGTGAACACATGGGTAAATTAATCGTACGATAAATTTAAATKAAGCCAATTTTCATTTGCCTGCTTGTTTYCTTTGTGTCTCCCTCTTTTCTACTCCTTGGATTCGCCAAGACGTGTTTATTTTCATACTACGTAAATTTCTTAAACATTGCAAGCAGCGTGCAGGTGATRCATAAAGAATAAATTTTGCTGGCTTGGATAGAAATGGGTAGCAATAYTACAGCTTCAGTAGCTGTTGTGTTTTATTTTCACAAACTCTGCTYCAGGTCCATCCATAATTTTACGTAAATTTCGTAAATACCGCAGTTTTTTTATGAAGCCTGAGGGAGACACATACAGAATAAATTGCGTCGGTTGGATAGTAGGGCTGTGTATTGGCAAGAATTTGGCGATACGATACATATCATGACAGAGGGGTCACGATACGATATATCCC